AACTACGTGAATTTTTAGCGCTACCAGACCACCTCTCAACAAAGGTATACCGACACTGCTTATGTAAATTGATATCTAATAAAGCCTATTTGTAAATTTTTCTTGTCTTCCTTAAAATTCATGTAAAACATATAGTCATTTGCACCTACATAGGATACCATTTATGCATATTTTTTGTGTAGGGTCGTCAACTTGCAGCCAAACTGCTGGACAATTCACAAGGCGAAGAGTTTTCAGCTCTATCTGCGCAACCCAACCAACCACGAGCCACTGTTGACTTAGCCGAAGTGATTGTACACACCATGATCATACTACATTGCTGTGATGACAATGAACTAATCAGCACTTTGCGATGCTTAATGGTTAAACCTGCAGCTATGAAGGCACGTATAACTACATAGGCGACCTACAATCTTCGGCAGAATAAATGAAAATCTCTGTTCCCTTTTCCACACTGCAAAGTTCCATACACGTTTTTGTTCAGTCATTGGCGATTCGTCAAGTGATCATATCACCGAGAAACAAGTAACAAAGCAAAAAAGGAGGGGAGATTATAGTAATACAGTTATAGTTATAATTTTGCAAAGGATTGAAGGTCAAACGTCGACTTGATAGCATAGTTATGCTGTTCACGTCAAATGTCATAAATTAATGGATCCAAAAACTCAATCTATTAAGTTCTTGTTTGTCAGAATGACAGTAACTGACTTTCAACATGATCTCAAAATTTTCTTTTATCGAGAATATCGGGGATCATGGGAATCGACTTTGGAATTTGATATACAATAATTTCTATTCTATGGCAGGACTCTTTCCTTCCCACAATGCCAGAGGATGATTTCGAAAAAGTTCGCAGCGGGCTTACGGAAAAAGTAACTTGGTATGGTACGTAAGTAAAACATTAGAGTATCTTTTTTGCATTATTTAGCTGATGTATTGAATTTTTTCGTGTATTAGAATGCCCCGCTGGACATCGCTACTCAATAGGGGATGTAAGTCTTTTTATCATCGAATGTTTTTAGATTATCATCATCATCATTAACATCATCATCATTAACATCATCAGCATATTTATTTCAAAACTTCACTAGATACTTGTTATAATTTCATGATGTTCAGAATGTTAAGAAGCAAAGTATTGTACTTTTAAAATAATCCTAGTGTGGCCGAGCCAATCAGGAATCGTGTTGCCCAGAATGCAAATCAGGGATCGGCGGAAAAGGGCACCAACTATTGCCAGGCAACAAAGTATTGACTGCTGCCCGGTAAGTACAGAACATTCAAGAAACTGATGTACAATAGAGAGTATGCTAGTTAAGAAGAAAAGCTTTGTCCCGTTCACAAGAATCCACTTCGTTGTTTGAAAAATCGCCATTGTTTTCTGTAAGACTTTATTTTATATAAACATATGAATTCCTCTCGATTTTTCTCACTTTAAAAAGTATTTTATTTTATTTCAAACAGACAGGATCGTTCAGGTCGGGGTCATATCTTAGGGAATGCTAATCCCAACACACCAGAGRCTGGACGAGATGGTTTGTCCCCAGCAGCTTTTCACATTATCCGTTTGATAATGCATTCTGCTATGCTGGTTGGGTCTTGCAGGCATCCACAGGTAAACACCGTCTTTAAATGATTAAAAATCCGTTTTTTGAKAGTTATCCTACTCAAAAAGAAGAAATGGAAATTGATAAAAGCATTTATTTGGTTCGATGCAAGCATAGTAAGATTTATAAATTGGACCTAAAACGTTCATTTCGTTTTCCTTTCAGGACATCGCTCAGCTATTTACACCAGCAGTCGCAGAGGACAACTTGAATGAATTCGTCTGGGGACATTTGACTTGTGACTTACGAAATTTAGCAGCAGCGTTGAATCGTAGTGAGGACGAGGCTCTTTGGACTGTTCATTGCGTATTGGCACGTGTTACAGACGTTTGCGCAACAAGTAGGAGTCTTTTCTCCTTTCTTAGTTTTTTTTATGACTGAAAGAAGAATTGAATGATTGATTGATTGATTGATTGTTTGAGTGAGTGAGTGACTTATTGATTAATTGGTTGGCTGGTTGGTTGAATGCTTGGTTGGTTGGTAGGTTGGTTGGTTGGTTGGTTGGTTATTGGTTGGTTGCTTGGTTGGATGGTTGCTTGCTTGCTTGCTTTAATGTTTGGTTGGTTGGTTTGTAGGTCGTATGGTTGGTTGGTTATTGGTTGGTTGGATGGTTGTTTGCTTGCTTGCTTTAATGTTTGTTTGGTTGGCTGGTTAGTTTATTGGTTGGTTTATTAATAGATTGTCATTCACAGTGTAATTGATTGATTAATTCTTGTTAAGATCCATCCATGTTCTTTGCGAATGGCGCACTCACTTCAGCTTCCAATAGAAGACAATGGGAAAAGGAATTCACAGCATCACTCATCCAACCT